ACGGACGCAAGGAGACCGAATTATAAGTCCCCGTTTTCAAACTTTGTTCGAACAGGGGCTAATTATGTAAAAGCCGGGTCATTGAAATGATTAATTAAGCAATGCAATCAATGTTTTATTTCAGGAGGATTTTATCAGAGAGTAAAGACATTCTTTGTTAGAATAGTGTATACTTACAGCATCCCAGAGAGCATATTGACGTTCGCTCATTTTTGAGAACCCAGTTGTGATTATCTTATTGTCTTTCAAGAATACAACACGCTGTGGCTTGGCACCTTCATGTCCATTACCTTCCTGAAATCAAAAGGAACATTGTATAAAAACACAGGTCGCAAGCATAGTGGTTGTTGCACCAAACCCCATACCTGTAGATCTAGATAATAAACATCAAAATGGGGTCCTGAGAAGTCAAAAGCCTCTATACATTCTGTGAGTGTGCCACAGTCTCATTGGTGAGGCAAAGGCATCTGAGCCCTTGAGTATGTCGGTCTCAATGGAAAGGCCAAAGCCACTATACCATGGATGAGTTTGTCACTGACTCAGTGGGGAGGCCAAAGCAACTGTATGCCAGGTGAGTTTGCCACAGACTCGATTGGGAGGCCAAAGCCATTGTATGTATCCTTGGTGATTGCACCACAGATTCAGTGGAGATGCCAAAACCACTGTATCTTTGGTGATTGTGCCTCAGACTCATTGAAGAGACACCAAAATGATGATGTACAACAACAAACCTCAAATGAGTTAGTTCACAAATGGGGTGTACTCGCACAACTGTAAGTATTTAGTTTCTAGTTCAATGTGATATTTTCGTATGGCAGATGATGAATTTAACAGGTGATATACAAGAGATTGACCAAAAGAATGAGACAGTAGAAGGTGTAATAGTCTAAATAGTTAGAGGTTATAAACGACACGCGAGGGTATTTGGTAGCGGATATTTAACCCAAATATGCTAAGTTTCAAATGCTAATTTGAAAATTTCAAGTTTATTACTTAAAATACATCGTCAATAAATAGAAAGGTTTATACAAATATTAAAACAGAAAAAATATACAGATGAATCGACATTATAAATATCGCGGATTAATACATTAACATTTGTTAAGAGTGGTAAATTTGAACGTGGCGGTTTGAAATTTTTCAAGTTGTCGTTTTCAAGGATTTTAGTTCGGTTTTGGAGAAATATACACATAGACAGAGCCTCCGAAAGTGCAGTTTTTGAACAGGTTTTCTGTGGCGACTGAGCTTGAGCATACCGTTTCACTTGTGGAGATATTTCTCTGACACTGTACTTGAGCCATGACCGATGTTGACGGCCGAATGATGCTGGAACTGGGGGGCCATTGGAAGGTAATTTTTAACACTCTCATCAACGGTAGGAACACCAACTTTTGACACTGAAATTACACTACACTGACGTTTTTGTTCACTAGAACTGTCACGACAGTAACTCCCGATACTCCCTTCATTCCGATGGCCACTTAAATTCATGATTATCCGTGTTGGTATTCCAGCATCATTCATTAATTTAAGAGTGGTTGCTCTCACAAAGTGGTTAGTGTACAGCATGCTCAACTCTGCGGCCGCTGATATTTTTTTCATCATTTCCCCCAAAGTATTGTGATCCAAAGGAGCGTTTGTATACCAAGTTGTTTCCCTACCTGTAAAGTTACTAATAGGCCGCTGGAAAAAAGCATTATTGCTTGGGTGAAGCTTACTTGTATAATTTAGAATGGCCGTAACAGGACAAAGTGGGAAGTCTGTTTTGTACATCAGTTTCTCTGATTTAAAGTCATCCTTCAAATCCCCCGAGGTGGTTTTGGTTGCTTTCAAATAGGCCAAAGTGATATAATCCCATCCCCTGTCATCTTTCTTTAAAACAAAACTTTCTTTGTGTAAATCCCAAAGACCCTCCCGTCCCCTTCGGCAAAAGAAAAACTGTACATAAAACCACACCAAATGTAAAAGGGACGCCAGGTCACGGTCGGAGGTGGAGGCGTTAGTATTCACTTCATTTTTCTTTGCTGCCAAGTTTTCGATCATTTCTTCAGAAAATTCTGGGAATCTTTGTCCTTCGGTAGACACCGGCATTTGTCGATCTGGCTCATTATTACCGCCGGCGTTCTGTTGCTACCATTCAATTGTAGCTTGAAGATGTTCTTCATCGGTAGCGTCATTTCATCCAGCTGGTCCCATTTGAAATTGAGATCAAAATTGATCTGAGGCTCGTAGTCTGACATAATTACTATGTTCTGAAAATGCCGCTAGTGACTTGCAGACGACAATATTTATCATATTTCAATCCAGTTTATTCCAGTTTTTATTTTATTAATTATTCATCAAACAGGGCCTGAGTCATATATTGCCAGATATAAACCATGGCTTCAGCTAATCAGATGGCTAGATTCATACTGGTCATATTATAATAGTATTCAATTACTCTAACCTGTTTTACTTCCCCACTTCTTGCATCATGTACACGTAATTTCTTGTCTTTTGATGTGGTTGCAAAGAGACTGCCATTATAGTTCCAGGAAGCACAGAAGATATTTGATTCCATATTAACCTCAACCAGAATTTCCGCAGTGGATACATTCCATATTAGTATTTTATCATCTTGACCTACAAAAACAGCATCATTAGTAGCGCACTCACTTTATAGACTTATCAATCTTTAAACATATTTTTAATGAA